AAAAACTTTCTTTTCTTCTAAGTTTTCTTACACTTACATCTTAAACGATTAGTGCATATTTTGCTACATTTAACATTTTTCTTTGACATATATGGACTCTAATATGCATTACAAAATCATATTTTTAGCCCGTATTTGTTTGACACTTTTCTTTGACTTTTCTACCAAAAAACACATTATAAATCACATAATAACAATATTTAATAACATGTTTTTGGTTGTTCATTTTTGGGTCTTCCATGTGTATGATCAGTTTGTCAAGATGTAGAGCTAATGAATGCTGTAAGTTTTGGTTTCGGCTTCTCTTTTATGGGGTAAAAGAAAATTTTTTTGGTTGTTAAATTTCTTTAAGTTCAAGAAAGCCTGCTACATGCTTGCTCACAACAAGGATTAATTAGATTATAATTAAGAAATTCCTTATAAGAAATTAAGGAATTAATCAGTTTTCTCGTTGAGGTCAAAGCCCTTTTGATCTTCCACCAAGAAACTGGTATGTTTCCTATAACAGCTAGAGTGGTTACAGAACCAGAAAAATAGCTTTCTTTCTGGTAAAATTTTGAGGGAAAAAAGGGCTTATTTCTTTTGTTTGAAGTGACTTCATTATTCAAATGGGCGTTTGTTGTTTAGACATGTTATATCAAGGTGCATAGCATTAGCATTGTTGAAAAAAAACTGTTTTGAAGGCAAACAAAAAGTTGCAGAATTGGCCCTCAACGATGAAAATTTCCAAAACTTCTGTTAAATTGCCATGTAGCATTAATATGCTTAACATTATTGACACGCCCAGCTCAAATTAACACTAGTGGATCGGAAAAGTGACGTGCACCAATGATAGATACCAACCCAAAGTCGGGCCCAACATCAAGGCTATTACAATATGGACCGTTTTATAATTTGGTTTTAATAGAATTTTAGCATTATTTCCCCTATAAATAAACTAACCGACCTGTAATTCATCATGTACAAATTTCAAAAATAACAACACAATAGAGATAAGCCGAAATCTCAACTTTTACAATGAAAGCAAAATAAAACATATATATGAATGCAAAATACCTTGTGAGCCCCATAACTATCTACAATTGATGCAAAATCACATCATGAACATTTGTCCCAAAACTCTAACTACATGCTCTATAAAATGAATCATATTGGCAAGCTCTATTGGGTGGATTTGACTCCAAAATCAAAGGCTCAACTCCAAAAGATACTTAGAAACTCAACTGATACCTGATAAAAAAATCGTGGAAAAATATATGAGTTGATAGGTCAGTGAGTGGAGAAGTTTTAAAATAATTATACATTATCGTTTATACATTTTTATCAACAACCAAGTTCATATCTTTAATAATTCACAAGATAATCTCATATAATTATAGTCAAGAATTGAGACAGTCTCATAATACTGTAAAATATTATCTCAAAGTCATGATATAAAGAACAGCTGAAACCATACTATAATCTCATAACATCAAATATACTAAAAAATCCACGAAAAATGTACCATTTCATTGAATTGTGTAAGATGGTTATACATACGTAGACTATACCTCGAGCTCAATACTTGCAACAAGGCCTGAAGCCCCTCAGTGAATGGAAGTGAGCCTTAAAAGACCCCTCATAATAACTTCTAGAACACAGCCTAGGCCCCCTCAATGATATATATGTACATGATCAAGACCCATTCATCCCCAGTCAAGGCCCCTCAGTGTAGTATAGAATATGGCTAAGACCCCTCAGTGAACTAGAAGAAGTACATAATTATGGGTACTTTTCTAGTCGATCTCAATGCCACATATATCTCACATTCCAAATCACAAATATACTATAAACAATATTTGAAATTTCACATGTATCTTAACAATAGAAATTTTTCATAATAACCACATAACTAAACACATAATTGCGGACACACTAGGTCTAATAAAACTTATCTCCCAACTCTTGAAGCTGAAATTTTAGCTCTTTCAATTCCGTTGGAGCCATTCTATATGGTGCCCATGAAATAAATACAGTTCTTAGAATAAGATCTATAGTGAATTCAATATCTCTATCTGATAGTAAACTTGGTATTTTTTTGGAAACACATCAGGAATGTCTTGATCATTGGGATGCCTTCGAGTTTTATTTTGCTAGGATCTGTATCCATCACATCAGCTAAATATGCCTGAGAACCGTTATTGAGTAATCTTCTACCATGAATAGCGAATATCACATAAGATGGTAAGATTTTGCTTTATCTATTGAATATAGGTTCAGGCTATCTTGGTTGTTTAAACACAACCTTCTTTCGAAAACAATCAACTGAAAATCAATTTGTAGCTAAAAAGTCTATACCGAAAATAATATCAAAAATCATATATTCCAGGAAGTATCAAATTTTACCTTCAACTCGTACACATTTACCTTAATTCCACAATCGCAATATATATACTGTTTGCTAGTAGTGATTATCCTTCTGACGTACCCATTTCCAAACAACTGCATAAAGGTTCTGGCTTTTTGTTCGCATGTAAAGTAAGTGCAACGACTCAAAAAGTCAAGTTGGTGATATTTAGCGAAAGTATGCATATAATGATAGAAATCTAGATATTGTGATCGAACGTACCATTAATTCTAAATGATTGCGGTATTTTATAGGACAATCCTTGTATTCGTCTTTATATTATGGTAGTGATGATATATCGATATCCACAGGTTGATGAAGAACGATGTCTATTAAGTGAAATTATCCATATTCACCATTTTTATTTTTTGTTTTGTTTTTTGTAGTTAACTACATATGGAGTCAATCATTGGAAATTTAGTCGAAAAATTTTTATTCTATTTTTGCTTATTTTACCAATGAATTAAATCCTTTCCTCATTTAAAATTTAAAAAAAAAGGGTCAGCGTTAATTGGTCATCGATAAAACTTGGAATTATGTTGGTAAGTAATTGAAATCTGCGCTAATATCAAGGATTACAATGAGAGGACTAATATATATATACATATTATGTGTGTGTGTATATATCTGTGTGTGTTTATCTCAGTTAATGTATTAAAAACCCAGTTAATTGTGATATCCATATCCTTATGACCCAAAAATAAGATATTCATCGACTCATTTCATCTCGTTGGCAAATATATCCTCCTAGGCCAACTAATAATTATTTTGGTCAGTAAATGTTGTGGTGCCGCATTCGCCACCAAAATTTTATCCCAAAAAAAATTATTCACCACTTTCTTTCATCTAGTTGAGAAATATGTCTCGCCTATGCCAACTAATGATTAATTTGTTCAGCAATTATTGTACCGTCATGATGCCCGCCCCAACTATTTTGCTCCAAAAATAAGATATTCACCAACTATTTTCATCTAGTGGGTGAAAGGCAGTGATTCAACACCCTTCTATTTACTCGGTAATGTTTGGCGTTTCCACCACTCCGTCAAGTATGCAAGACCTAAAAAATGAAGGCGGGGCTTTCTCCCCCGTTTTACCTCCGGCGTGAGAATTAGTTTTCAGACTTGGAAAGAATATATTTGAAAATCAGATGGCTAAAAACGAGAATGGGAGCTAAAAAAAAAATCATCCCTTACCTGCGTCTCATCCGGGGGTATTTATAGATATTAGGCACTAGGTAACCGCTGGGCGGTTGTGATGCCACGTGTCCTACGATGATATTCCCACTACACCCACGCTCTGAGTGATGAGTCCTTAACTTCCCGTCTGAAGATTGTACCTGTATCAGCGGCCATGTAACCTTGTCGATTCGTTAAAGGTTTTATGGCTAAGTGTTTGGACAAAGGATATAATTCCCGTTGAAGATTTCGCTTAGTGGTAGAATGATTTCTTGGGGTAGCGGTAGAGCGCTCCCTAGATGTAGTGGTAGAGCGCTCCCTGGGTGTAGTGGTAGAACGCCCTATGAGGATCGATGGCCTTGCATCGGTGTGCTGTGATCTGCCTTGCTCGTCCTCGGGGGTGTCTCCTTCTACCAACCTATATCATTAGCCCCTCTATCCCTTGTCGATGTTTTCGGCAAGGGGTAGCAATTTTAGGTTGGTTTGAATTTTTTTTATTTTTTTTTTAAATAAAGAGAAAGGAATAGTTCGTATTAGCAAATCGAATCATATAACCACGATCGAGTGGCAATTGTACTGTACACATGGATCCTCATGAATGGCTTTAATATTGGAGGGAGATTTCCCTCCAATTCCCCCCCAAAAAATTTGAATTCTAGTGTTATAAAAAGGGGGGGGGGGTAATTCTCATTCTAGAAAATCACTTTCATTTTCTCTCAACTTCCTAGATTTCCTCTCTTCTAAGGTAATTTCCTCTCTTTATTTACATCTAAAGTCTTGCTTTAAATTTCTTCTCTTCATCATTTTTGTTGTCATGTATAAAACTATCCTTTCTTCTCCTTCCAATGAAAAAAGTGATGGGGGTGTAGTGATTTGATCGGACCTTCGTCGGAGGATGCTGGTGGGAGTCCGACCGACCCACGGGGGGGTCGGTCGCCGGCCAGCGGGGCTGGTTTACGCTGGTCGACCAGCTTGGCTGGTCGACCGTCGACCAGCTTAACTGGTCGACGATCGACCAGTCATAGGGCTGGTCGACCGTCGACCAGCCCTATGGCTGGTCGACCTACGGCCAGCCCGAAGGCTGGCCGTCTACCGTCGTCCATTAATTCTCGTGGTTTGTTCGGTCCTTCGATCCGCCCTTGTAGTGACTCGCCCCCTTCATCCAGCAAATCCCTTTATGATAGTGATAGTGAAACTCATTCGATTGACTCTCAGCCATTTGTTCCAAATCTCCCAAAGAGACACATTGGTTCTTCCAAATCTCCAGGCCAAAACTTGGAAATCGGGCGTGACCCGGCTGGTGAGGTTGTCTCCTTAGATATCCCAAAAAGTTATAGTCTCTACAATTTGCCACTCAAGCTAGAAAAATGTCTAGGAAAGTATGACCGGGTTGATGATTACGTCTATAGAGCCCCTGGTCCTAAAGAAAGGCTCCCCGAGTCCGACCCTCGTGAGATAGCCATGTACAAGGATATTATGGACGGGGGTTTTCGGTTCCCCATTCATCCCTTTTTTGTATCGATTTTCAACGAGTTCCACCTTACTCCTAGTCAAATTAATCCTAATGCATGGAGAAAAGCGTTATATTTTCTGTACGTCTGTCTCAAAAAGGGAATTTCACCTTCCATGGATCTTTTCAGGTGTATCTTCGAAATGCATGAGTTAGTTCAATGTAATGCCTTTGTCTATTTTACCACTAGGGTACCTATGCAATTTCCTAAGTTTAGGAATTCGAATAGCGGATGGAAGTCCCGATTTTTCTTCGTCCGGCCTTCAAAGGGTCAGTTTTCTTTTAACACAAACTGGCGACACCCCCAAATTCGTCTCTTCAATAGCCAAGTAGAAGCTACTCCCTTTCTAGAAGCTCAAATCCAGGACTTGGTTGATGTTCCGCCCCTTGCACCTGACTTAGGGTCAGTCCTTACCATGAAGAACATGTTGAAAGTGGGGATGAGTCGTCCAATTGGTAGGTCGTTTATGTTGTTTTTCTTTTTCTCTTTTTTTTTTTTTAGCATGCACACACGTTCATTTATTATTTTTGCCTTTAGCTCGTCGAGACTAATGAGCTTGGATGTTTGTTTCAGGTATGGACTTTGATCTTGATGAGGTATTGAGGACTCTGCCAGGAGGAGATGAGGGCCTTACCCTCGTTGATGGTAAGCTTTCATATTCACCCCCACCCTCACTTCCCCCCCTCTTTCCCCCTCTTTTTTTTTTTTTTTTTTTTGATACTCTACCTTGTGAGTTTAACTGATTTCAACTTACGTGTGCAGGGGCCGAGCTTGATCTGGAAGGAGTCATGGACTCCATGCCTGACCAGGGGCAGGAGGGTAAGGTGGATCCTTTGCCTATCCCTTCAAAAAGAAGAAGGGGGGCCGACCTTGGGAGAAAGTCTCAGACGATCAACGAGACTTCTCAGCCTTTAGATGAGCCTCGTGATGTGGTTCCAGCTCCTAGGCCGGGAGCTCCTAGTCGTGCGCGAAGTGAGCGCGAGGACTCGCTTCCTAGCTTTGGGTTTCCTCCCACCCGGGGCTATCATGAGATGGGGGTGCTTAAGTCGTTGGTGACCCCCGCTCAATCCAGAGCGATTGCAGGGCGTAGCGCAGATGACATAGAAAGGGCTGCGGCTGTTTATCTTCAGAGGGTATGTTTCTCATTTCGAGATTTTTTTTTTTATGTTGGATCTCGCTTTTTAAGTTAGACCTTAACTCGTGGTTTCACTCTTTTTCCCCTTATACATTTTTTTTAGGTGGTGGCCCTCCAGACCGGGCTCGCTGAGTCGAATCGCCTAGCCTCAGAACTGAAAACTCTTAGCTCTGTTTTGGCTCGTGCTCCTGAAGAGGTGGTTGAGAGGTATAAGGCCTCAGGTGAGTACGCTGGAGATCTCAAGGCGGCTGTGGATCAGTTTAAGACATCGTCCGATTATGCTAAGGCTTTGAACTCATACGGGGGGAAGGCGATGTCTGCATCAATTAAGCTCTCCAAGGAGTGGATTATGGCCGAACATCCTTCTATAGACCCCTCCGGCTTGGATAGATTTCTCGTACAGCGCAAGGGAAAGGAGAGCGTAGCTCAGTCATCCAGATCACTCAGTCGTTCATCACAAGGGGGTAGTGGGGATGTCTCCCCTTCGAGCTGAAGCATTACTTAGTTGTTGTTTTCCTTGCTAGTTTTTCCTTTTCAGTGTTTACTTTTGCTTAGCCTTGTTATCTCCTACTTGCTCGGGATGTGGGCAAGAATTCTTCGAATGTATAAACACATCTTTCATTCGATATTATTGGCGCTGGATGCGTGGTTCCTTTAAAATGTCGTCTCTCATATTATTTTTCTTTTTATTGCTTGATGGTGCGGGGGAGTGTTCATATATATATGTATTTTCCAAGGCTCTCTACCTAGTCGCGTATGCTATGTCGACCGCAGGGGGTGATTTGGTGGTTAAGGGCCTTAGCCAACTTTTTGGCTTTCCAAGGCTCTCCACCTAACCGCGTAGGTTATGTCGACCGCAGGGGGCGATTTTATTGTTAAGGGCCTTAGCCAACTTTTTGACTTTTCAAAGCTCTCCACCTAGCCGCGTAGGCTATGTCGACCGCAGGGGGTGATTTGGTGGTTAAGGACCTTAGCCAATTTTTTGACTTTCCAAGGCTCTCCACCTAGCCGCGTAGGTTATGTCGACCGCAGGGGGCGATTTGGTGGTTAAGGGCCTTAACCAATTTTTTGACTTTCCAAGGCTCTCCACCTAGCTGCATGGGCTGCGTCGACTGCAGGGGGTGATTTGGTGGTTAAGGGCCTTAGCCAATTTTTTGACTTTCCAAGGCTCTCCACCTAACCGCGTAGGTTATGTCGACCGCAGGGGGCGATTTGGTGGTTAAGGGCCTTAGCCAATTTTTTGACTTTCCAAGGCTCTCCACTTAACCGCGTAGGTTATGTCGACCGCAGGGGGCGATTTGGTGGTTAAGGGCCTTAGCCAATTTTTTGACTTTCCAAGGCTCTCCACCTAACCGCGTAGGTTATGTCGACCGCAGGGGGCGATTTGGTGGTTAAGGGCCTTAGCCAATTTTTTGACTTTCTAAGGCTCTCCACCTAGCTGCATAGGCTATGTCGACCGCGTGTCTTAGTGGGGTGGGCGTGGAGTTCAAAGTTGCTTGTTGGCATAAAAAATTCCTGGTCTTGTGAGTTCAGTAGGCGCACCGGGACGTCCCAGCTAGGTTGGCCCTTCCGTAGCGCCCTCATCATCCGTCACCGCCAAGGTCTTTCATTGAATAAGATAAATTGTTACAACTAAGGGTGCCTTTGTGAGGCATTACATAGAGAAAATAAGCAATGCAACCTAATCTACTATATTTACAAAAGCGCAGCCGGCGAGTACATTTTGAGTTCTACTGGTAATACTTTTTGTGGTGTTCCGCATTCCATGGTCTACCTAGCGGCCTTCCTTTTATATCTTTCAAGCTGTAAGCTCCCTTTCCCAGCCTGCGAATCACTTCGTACGGGCCTTCCCAGTTTGGACCAAGCTTTGGTGGGGGGTGTCCTGCCGCTGCTGCATCTCTTAGAACGAGATCTCCTGGCAGGAAGACCCTTGGCTTTACTTTCCGGTTGAAGTACTCAGCAGCTCTTCGTTTATAAGCCATCATTCTTATCGCCACCTTGTCCCTTACCCCCTCGAGGAGGTCGAGCTCTCCCCTAGTTGCTGCGTCGTCGGGTTGCTTGACTTTCATCCTTCCTGTCTCGCTTAAGATCTCAACCGGAACCACGACTTCCATCCCAAAGGCCAGTTTGAATGGCGTCTCCCCGGTCGACTCTCGGGGGGTAGTGTGATATGCCCACAGTACATTGGGCAACTCCTCAGCCCAAAGTCCTTTTTCTTTTTCTAATCTTGTCTTCAAATCCCA